AACAGTCCACATTTATTTGCCATTTAGGATTTCAACTATTTCTTATCAAAACACCAAAAAATACAAATTGAAAACCAATGGAAAACACTGCAATGCCAGACTTAACTAATTCTCATTCAAGCTTCACCCCAATTTTGATTTGATTGTAACTGGGAAATAATTCAAAATTGTAGGGAACACATTGCAGCTCTATTCCATCCAATTCCCTATTATTTTCAACAAAACACCTATGGGAATCTTTCAAAACTGCCACAAGTATGGTCAATATAGACTGCGGAAAAAATGTCAAATATGTTGTAAATGAGCAATTAGACTTAGTTCTTAGCATTTTCTTTTAACACATATCTAATTGGAAAGACATTCTACTGATGTATTTTACTTACAAACTGCTAAATGTTTATGGAAAAATCTATCTCAAGTCAGGTTTTATTGTTTCTTTACCTTGTAGTCAGTATACAACCAATTAATGCTGCTATTTTGATGACAATTACAGTGGTCTGGATTTAACATCCACGGCTGTATGTAAAATAAATTGACGAACACTACAGAACTAATGCGTTAATGAAAAAAGCATGCATGTTTTGTCCATAGCAGCAATTCAGACGTTTGTGTTTGTTTTCCCAAACATGTACACCAACAACAACTACAGCTGTCTAATATGTATGCAAAGGCATCATAACAGAGATGCACACCTTCTCCTAGAATGTACCATACTAAGGCTTTATGCTGTCCATACATGTGGGTAATTTTCCAGCAATTGCAGCCACTATAAACCATTTTCAACTATATTTTCTTTTAAATTTTTTTTTTTTTTATTAAATTTTTTGCAGAAAAAAAGTAAACTTACAAAAAAGTAGGCAGACATGGATTATACAGTTTTCTTGGCTGCATAACATGAAATACATACAGGATATACAAGGAAAGCACACAGATGTATAACAAAGTAGAAAACATTCTGACAACTCAGATATAAAGAAAGCAGAAGGTTCTTGAAATAATCATCCTGTAATATGCAGGTGGCCAAAGAACTAGTACACCTCAGAAGTGGTGTAAATGTATCCCAAAAAGTGAGAGAGAGATCTGAGAAAGAGAGTGAAGATGGACCAATATTTCTCCCTCTGCAGGAACAATCTCTCGTACTTTGGGGTTGCTTTACTAAAAGGTAAATAGTGTGCACTGCAGGTGCGGTTGCTCTAGATCTGAGGGGAAGCTCCGTGCAAGCAAAATTGCTGTTTTTTTTTTTATTTTCCTTACATGCGATTGGTTATATTGTGCAAAGTGAAGCATTACCTCATTTACTAAGCTCTGGAGCACCTGCACTTGCAGAGTGCACAGTCTATTGCAACCCCATTGCATCAACACTGCTATACAGCCAATAAACACCCAACTGAAATAGAACATAAAGTGCCAAGCCAATAATGGTATAAAAAGGCATCAAAGAAAAGGAAAAGAAGAAAGAAAAAAGAGGTAATATGTCCGACCAGGGCTCCGCACTTCCCACATACCGAACAGCCAATATTAAGACGGACATTGTAGGTAGTGTAGCCAAGGATCACAAATTTCAACTACCAGTTCACAGCAATAACTCATGAATGGATCAAGGCAAATCTACCAATATCAGTCTGTATTGAAATTGCAAATTGATCAAAACTATTGACTATAGGTCGCCCTGATCTGTGCAATCAACCCTGTGGTCAAAAGCTACTTAAAGTGGAACTGCATCTGAGCACCACAAACCAAAAATGCTGTTTAATTAATTTTTAATATTCAGAGCAATGACAAATCCTTTAGAAAAACATCCCCTGGCATTTCTTGCAGTGGCCATCTTGAGTAAAGACAGATGATTCATGTATCATTTACTTCCTGGAATTCATCTACCCTTAGATCAGGCTAAGGCTGAGCTAAGAACCCTCCCTTCACTCCTGAAGACTGCCGAGATGTATGACATCATTTGCTCAGGCATGGAAACCAGGAAGTAACTGAAGATATTTAAAAAAACAGGTAAATATGATATACTTTCCTATTTACTAATATTAGCAGCATAAGGATTATAAATAGTCCATGTTGATTCAGAGAGTGAAGTTTCACTTTAAAATGGTTTTAAATTGCTATAAAAGTATTGACTCAAGGGGCTCAATACAAATGCTGCCACACTTTTCAGATATTTATTTGTAAAAAACCATTTATCATTTTCCTTCCACTTCACAATTATGTGCCACTTTGTGTTGGTCTATCACATAAAATACCAAAAAAATAAATTTACCTTTTTGGTTGTAACATGACAAAATGTGGAAAATTTCAAGGGGTATGAATACTTTTTCAAGGCACTGTATATGACCAGAATAAAACCAGCAATACCCATGGGGATTTGATAAAAACTTCCAAACTTTTAATCTTATGTTTTGTCCAAATTGCAAAGCAGCTAAAGACGTAATATGGTGAATTTAGGTGAACTGCAAACAGAAGTGTCCTGATTGAATGTGGTAAAAAATCGAATCGATTTACTGCAGATAAAATCGACATTGTTTTTCTCATTTAAATTCTGTTCCAATTTGATCTGTGAAATAAGGATATCAAAGTTGTCAATTGATTGCCCAGTGTAGACATCAAAGAGTGGACCTACAGGGTAGTTAAGAAACATGGAAAGATTCCATTCAAGAAACTGAGGTTTTGATAGTGGCCTCAGATGCATACCAGCGCTAAGAACTACGTCAGCAATCTGTTTGTGGTCCACAATGTGTTTGTGAAAGTCAGTGTCGTGGATACTTAAACTTTCAGTGAACTAAAACTCAGACCTACCGTATATCTAGCACTGAATGAAGAAAGGCTTGTACCTTCTCTGGATGAAAGTCTAATGCTAACCTCCTGAACGCCTCTCATATTCAATTATACACCCAGTTTTTCCCGACGTTCTGCCTTTCAACAAGTTGTTCACCACTGTTCTTTAATAGCTTTCTCTACTGCTCCGCTCAAGGGCAAGACTGTCAATTTGAATTGAGCCAAGCACCAATGGATTACACCGCTTTGAGGCAGGGGAAATGGATTCTAAATGCTGAGCTGGCACAAGAGGGACTGCTTGACTGCTGGTCAAGCTTATTCAGAAACATGTAAGCCAGGGGAACAGGAGGTGAGGCATAAGCTTTGTAAGCTGGCCAAGGTGCAGTTAAAGTAGAAGAAAAGCCTAACTGTAACTATTCTTAAAAATATTCCCTCCCCCTCCTCCTACCTCTCCTAACCTGTATAAAAATCAGTGTACTTACCTATTTTCATTCTGCTTTGGTACAGTCATATGATGCTAAAACCCTGTGTAAGGGAGTGCTTGACAACAGCTGTGAATTCCAGTATATTGGACATGGTTTGAGATGTGCCCCAGTGACCCTTTGTCATCACAGTGTGCCCCCCGACTGAACTGGCTCCCAGGTAAGTCAGAGTCTGATTACAAATTTTACAATACAGCCAAAACTGGTGTATGTAGATAAGACTTCTCTCTGATGAAGTAACTGGTCTAGGAGGAGTACACTGATGAGGTGGCAGGGGCGGACTGACCATTTGGAAACTTGGGCACTGCCCGAGGGCCCGGGGTCAGTAGGGGGCCCCATGAGATGCCCCTGGTACCTTTTTCATAGGCTTTTTTGAGTTTGGCAAGAACACAGGGGCCCCATGATCCCCTATTGCCCGGGGGCCCCATGAGTTGTCAGTCCGCCCCTGTGAGGTGGTGATGGATTCCAATACCTTGTTCCCCCAACAATGCTCTGACTGGCATAAGGACTTTCAAGAGAGTTCACAGGGACATGGAAGGGCCATACAAATTGGTAGTGTAGATATCCAAATGTAAAGAGAGATATGAATAAAAGGAATATTTTTATGGAGATATGAAGATATACGTCCTTTAAGTCAATTAATAGACTCTAGACATTGCTGTAGTAATTCCATCTTGAAACAGTATCTAGAGATATCCTTGTTGAGCCTTCTGATATGGTCCTCATAACTTACTATATTGAGATTGTTTACTGGCCTCCAATCCCTCATTTTATTCTGCCTGTAAGGTTTGGGGAATACACCCCTTTGAATCTTTGAGACTTGGGCTCTGGAAAGATTGCTCTGCCTGGGAGAGGTTGCGGATGTGCTGTTTTTAAAGTTTTCCATTCAGATCATGTGTAAGCATAACAACTCTGCTCCCACTGTACAGGAACTGGATAGATGTACCTTCAAAAACAAAAAAATAGACTACCCTTTGCTTTGCATTAAAGTTTTCAAAAAGAAAGTCTGTGATTCAAGGCAGGTTCTTCTGAACTCTCTTTTTGGTGTGTAAGCTCTTACTCAATCTGGAAGCACCTGGCATGGTTGACTTTTTCCCGTTAATACAAAGTTATGTGCCTCAACTTCCCATCAGTTGTTTTAGAGATGGCTTTGTCACGTTTTTCACTGAACAGTTATAGTTTTTATATGCTGTTATGCACCTCCCCAGCTTGGACAAAGGATCGGGCCACCCAGGGACAAAATCATAAAACCCTCTATGTGATAATGTGTAGCATGGATCTGGCAGAGGTCCTGATAATTATTGCAGTTTCACCATGGTAGTTGGAGGGGAGCTTTAATTCCCCCAGTGTTGATATTATGCACTTCTTGTTTTGGGCAGCCCACACTGAGGCTTCAACATTCTCCATCTATACATTGAGGGTCTTTGTTTCTGCTGTCAGGGCTATTGCCAAACAGCATGCTCCACCTACATTTATGTAGATCCTCTTTAAAGTGGAAGAAAAACCAACCTATAACTATTTTTTTAAATGTTACCTTCCCCTCCATTCTACCAGTCCTGCCTAATCTGTATAAAAACAATCTGTGTACTTACCTATTTTCCATCCGAGCTTGTGATCCAGCAGTTATGTGAAAGGGGGCACTCACCCATAGGCTCCCATGACTTTCATCTCCCCTTCAGGAACTGCTCACTGACACAGGGGAGCCAGAGCTGCGGAATCACATTACCGGATCAGAGCATAGTAGCTTCCCTGGCGGTATTCCCGAGTGTAGCTCGGGGTAAAGTTTCAGTACCACAAGTTGTAACCCCGAGCTACACTCGGGCTTACCATGCGTCGCTGCTCCGGGATCTGTTCTTCTCTTACCTTGTCCTGCGCTCCCGCGATGTCCCTCCTGCAGAGTCCCCTGCAATGTCCTCCTGCGGATGCTGGCATCTGTCTTCTGGGTTTTGTCCCCTGCAACGTCGGGACGGAATGGCGGGAAATTTGAAAATGACATAAAGTGACATTCACTAAATTCACTAAAATCACATAGTATTCCATTACTGTATCAAACCATTTCACATACATTTTGTCCTGAGTGTTTTGTCCTGTGCCCTCCCTACATTTTTACTTTTCTTTCTGCCAGGAAACTGAGAAATGTCCATGGCGTCCAAAAAGCATCCCTTTAGGTCAAAAGCGGTTTTAGACCGGCTAGAGAACAGCGATAGTAAATCAGAACTACTTGCAGAATTGAGTAATAATGATTCGTGAGTGAAATTCGTCATCAGACACTGAAAACGATTTTGCGACTTTGCTCAGTGATGTGCGAACTTGGCGCTATATTTCAAATTTCAGTGTTTTTGGTTTGATTATATTATTGAATTAAATTTATTATTGTATTATTATTTTTTATGATTATTTATTAAATTATAATTTATGATTTCGTGTTTCAAATTTTATCATACCCGGGATGTTTACTAGACTCTTGTTCGGACAGATTTCAGTGAGTTATTCCTAAAAATTACAGGCCTACAATAAAAAAAACTACATATTTCCATGCAAAAAAAGTTACCGCTTTGAGCACAGAAATATGGACATAATCAGACCGCTAGGGAGGTTAAAAATAGGTAAGTACACACATCTCTTTTGTGTTATACAGGATAGGTAGAAGAAGGGGAGGGGGGGCATTTTTAGAGAATAGTTATAGTTAGGCTTTTCTTCCACTTGTCCATGTGGCTATGCACATCACTGAACAACCTCTAGAATCATCTAGCGGTAGTGTTACATGCTTGAATAGCTGCAAAAATGAGCTGACCAGTGGAGCTGTATCAAGATGCTCAGACTCTCGGAGTAGATAAAATTTGCTTACACAATTATGGAAGGACTGCTTCTGGTAACCTTGTTCAACTTCTCTCACATAAGAACTTTAATCTGGTCTAAAATGGGAGAGTAGTGGTCTCCTTCTTGAGGTGTTTGAAAAGACTTTTCTTGGCTGTAGCTTTAACTGTTACTTTCCACTGAAGGGCATCTCTTACGGCCTTCATGTATGGATGTCTGAAACTGAAATCAAAGCCTTTAAAGCTGGACCTTTCATTCATCTGCCCATCCTCCAATAATAGAGAGCTTTTCAATGCAGGAACTGATAGTACAGTTTCTATGAATGGAGCTGGGTGTGCTCGCATAATAGTCTCCTGTGACACTGCAGAATCCATTGTAGGAAGTTTGTCTGAGGGTGCTGATAACTCCTTAAACCCTCTCACATATCCTATCAAGAGATTACATTTGATATCCTCCTTTTTCTATCTGGAAGCTTCTGAGGCATGGCGCAGAGGGATTTACCAGCCACTGCAGTATTAGAGCAAGCCCAGCAGTATCCTTGAGTGGAGGCACAGAGTTTTACCCTGCATTACCTGTGGATGCATAAAGCTTAATCGTTGCTCTCTACTCTCTCTACTCAGACTGTCTGTCAGTTTCAGGGGTGACCACTTCATTACAGACAGGTACCCTTGCTTCAATTCTGTGTATGATCTGAGTGCTTTTCCCAGATTGCACATAAAGCCAAGCATTAGCATCATATCACTACACTGCCATGTACTATGTCAGCAGACCTCTGACCAGCCCAACGATGCGGTAATCTCCTGTTGCTAAAATGTGACCAGTTCACGCTGACACTTTTTGTTTTAACTGGACAGTGCCAGGGCATGACATGATTGCCATCAATCGGTGCCTGCACAGAATGGCACTCCATGATGCCTCAGAGTGTCCTGACTAAACTGCGCTGTCACTCTAGAAAGCAGTGGGCAGGATTAGGTGTGGCAAGGTGCCGATTCATAAGCAAGAGGCTTGCGAATCAGCATTGATAAGGTCGACAATCATGCCCCTGCAACATTTTTTCATCCCACTGTAGTGCAAGCAGACATTACCACCATGAGAGTGGCAACTCTGAATTCAGGAGCAGTACAGCATTGTTGCCACTCCATCACAGGAAGCTGCATGAGGTGGACTTCATTGGCAGGATCAACAGGTATTTGTGGGATTTTGCAGGGGAACTAAGAAAACTGTAATTGCAGGTGCTCTCACAATTTAGTTCTTCAGCGCATCATTTTTTCAAACTGGAGCCCAAAGTTCTACTTTCAATGAACATATAATCTTGGGAAAATATTTGTTGAAATGAATGCCCAATACCCTGACAACAGGGTGTCTTTAAATTACAATATCCCCTTTAGGACCCAAACAAACAGTGAACTCAAAGACCAAACGGTTTGCATTTTATAGACATCTCCCTAACAATGACGTTTTATAATGTTCTTTAATGAACTAAGCATGTGTGTGATGTGACATTACCTATAACAGCTGAGCATATACACCCTAACAACAGGCTGAAATAACAGCTGTTAACTACATACAGTATATCAGCCTTTTGTTTCCATCTCCAAACTGAAAGATGACCTGTAGTTTTACATTACAAAGAACTGATGTCAGTTGCCCTTCCCTACCTGGAATCTTCTGTCACACTGTGAATGATTACATATGCTACAAAGGTCTGAATGACTCTAAGCAGCCCAAGGACATGATCTCTCAGTTCCTCCACCTTGCCAAAAACATGATGTTTATGCAAAGGTCTTATGTCTGGAGGGGCAAACACAGCACAGGAGTCTGTTGGCCAACTGATCTCATTGTGGACATTGGTCAAACAGGTTAAAAAACCCGTCCCAATACCTGTTTTCCAACTCTCCTCATCCCATCTAAAATGCCTTCAACACCAACTGTCATTGCTCGCCAAGCTAAACATTCACGTTAATAGCATCACAGACTGAGTGGTACAAAAGCCTTTTTAATCATGTCTGCTACATACCCCTTTATATGTGGGCCCTAGCAAAGATAGGTATTCATACATATGAAACGATATTTGTACGGCTGGTCATATACAATGTGATTTATTATGCCAGTAGTCTCCAAACTGCGACCCTTGGTTTGTCTTTATCCAACCCTAGAGGCATTACTCCTGCCACTGACACCAACAGTGAGGAACCATTCTTCTCACTGACACCAATGATGGGGCATTTTTTCTTCCACTGACACCAATCCTCCCCATTAAAGTCAATGATGGAACAATATTCCTCCCACTGAAATGAATCCTTCCACTGATACCAATGATGGGGAACTATTCCTCACCCCTGATACCAATGATGGGGAACTATTCCTCACCCCTGATGCCAATGATGGGGTACTATTTCTTGCACTGATAGCAAAGATGGGGAACTATTCCTCCCACTGATACCAATGATGGGGCACTATTCCTCCCACTGATACCAATGATAGGGCACTATTCCTCCCACTGGCAAGAATGATGAGGCACCATTCCTCCTACTGACACCCATGATGGGGCACTATTCCTTCCACTGACACCAATGATGGGGACCCATTCCTCCCACTGACACCAATGATGGGGTACTATTCCTCCCACTGACACCAATGATGGGGTACTATTCCTCCCACTGACACGAATTATGGGGTACTATTCCTTCCACTGATATCAATAATGGGGCACCATTCCTCCCACTGACACCACTGATGGGGTACTATTCCCCTCACTAGCACAAATAATGGGGTACTATTCCTTCCACTGATACCAATGATGGGGATCCATTCCTGCCAGTGACACCAATGAGGGGGCACCATTCCTTCCACTGATACCAATGATGGGGCACTATTCCTTCCACTGATACCAATGATGGGGCACCATTCCTCCCGCTGACACCAATGATGGGGCACCATTCCTCCCGCTGACACCAATGATGGGGCATTATTCCTCCTTTAACTTGACTACAGACACTATGCAATTTTTTTTACTCTCAGTGACGGCGGAGCATTTTCTTCTCCCACTGGCCACTCCAGCCCCCCTAAAGTCTGAAGGACAGCAAACTGGCCCTTTCTTTATAAAGTTTGGAGACCCCTGTCTTATGCGATAGTTGCTTTGTGTATGACTCATCTGGGAAATTAGAATTCAGAAGAATTTACACTTGATTACACTTCTAAAACCAATAGCATGGCCTACACTATTCACTATTCTTATGCCAGTAGTCTCCAAACTGTGGCCATTTCTTGTCTTTAGCCGGCCCTTGGGGCATTACTCCTGCCACTGACACCAACAATGAGGAACCATTCTTCTCACTGAAATGGGGCATTTGTTCTTCCGCTGACACCAATCCCCTCCACTAATGTCAATGATGGGACACTATTCCTCCTATTGATAGCAAAGATGGGGCACTATTCCTTTCACTGACAAGAATGATAGGGTACTATTCCTCTGATACCAATGATAGGACACTATTACTCCCACTGAAACCAATGATGGGATACTATTCCTTCCACTGAAACCAATGATGGGATACTATTCCTTCCACTGATAGCAAAGATGGGCACTATTCTTCCCACTGATACCAATGATGGGGTACTATTCCTTCCACTGACACGAATGATGGGTCAGTATTCCTTACACTGATACCAATGATGGGGAACTATTCCTCCCCCCTGATACCAATGATGGGGTATTATTCCTTCCACTGATAAGAATGATGGGGCAGTATTCCTCCCACTGACACCAATGTTGGGGTACTATTCCTCCCGCTGACACCAATGATGGGTTCAATACAGCATTTTTATTTACAAAGGCAGGACTTTTGATTTGTTTGATACAGTTAAGTAACTGTTACAGGTCTTGTCCCTCCCCTTGCCTGTGACTGGACAGAGAAAGAAGAAGCAGCTTACTGATAGGCTCATCTCTGCTCTCTCCTCCTATCAGCATGTTTCCTATTAGCACATGGATACTGCAGAACAACTGACTGGCTCCTTGTGTTGCTTCTCTATCTCCAAGCCTGCAATCTGCTGTGAAATGTATTGCAAGCATCTAATACCAAATCAAAGTCAGGTGCTTACACTGCTTTCCTTAGGAAAAAGCAACATTTAAAGCCAAGTTTAAAAAAATGTAAAAATGCACACTCTACAAAAAGAGAGGGTTTATACTCACCTATCCCACTGCCATTACTCTCATCCAGGCTCAGGTCACTGAGTCCCCTGCTGCGCCC